TTTTACGTCATTTTTAAGATAGGCATAAACAACACTGACTTTAGGTTACACATGACCTAACAGTTATGAATAACTGTTGCAAAATCACAGCAGCTATGAAAAGAGCATATTATTTTCAAAAAAGTACCATTTCATATGACGACTAAGCCTTCAAAAATCAGACTTGGTATGTTTGCCAGTGATTTTAAAAAAATATTTTTTTTAAATATCAATGCATAATATGATGTTATAAAATTTAACATTGTATTCATCTCAAAATTTTAAATTTTATTTTGTTATATGTTCACTGTAAAAACTTTTAGTTCATCTCAACACCAAGATAGTGGCAACTACTTTAAACAAAAGTGAAACCGTCTTTTGATGTAAAGTAACCACCGCCATTTTTATTATTCAGTAATTTAAAACTGATAATTATTGTAAGATAAGATACACATCAGAATCAGCGAAGTTATTTTTACTATACAATATAAGTAAGATTCATAAATTTGAAATGCATATATAGAATAATTCTTTCAATAAAATTAATTTATAAATTATTGACACAGGTAGAACAGATGATACATTTGGTTCCTGATAATGAAAGTCAACTTATTAGCTTGGTCAACTTAACAGGTTTTGCTGTATTTCTCTCTGAGATAGTTTTTCAAACAATTTTAGTTTGATAAATGAATAAAACTACGGGAAAACTGATTTTTGAAACGTTCTTTCAAAATCATATAATCTAATATTGATTCCAAAAGAAAGAAAAAATAAATAAAGAAAAAAATCTCCCTTATATACGAAAAAAATTTAAATCTTTCAAAGAATGAAAGGATATCAATTTTTGAATCCTAATCATGATATATGAATATTTTAGTATGTAGCATTCAATGATAACTTCTGTCCAAAAATTCAAAATCCCGAAGGTTTTAATAATTAAGTTAAATTTCAAAAGCAAACATATTTGACATCTTGAATATTTTATTTTTCCAAAATGGTAAATCCTATAAGCAAGAAATGGACAATTTTTTGCAACGATTCAAATCCAATTAAGTATAAATACAAATATTGAAATGTTTATCAGAGCGAAACAAAAATAAATTCTTTTAATCCTAAGAAAGTTATTTCCTTATGGTTCAAAGCCTGTCATTCTACTTTATAAGCGCTCGAAAGCTAAAGTGCTTTCCCAAAAATTAAATTTATCGAAATGTTTATCTCGATTGGTGGAACTTATTTTCGAACCCAAAAACTCAAAAATTAATATAAAAAATAAACATTTTCTTTCATTCTATTAAAAATGTAGGAAAAGTTATGGACAGATTTAGAAAACTTGCCCAATGAAAATAGCTGTGTATAAGAAATAGAGTTATATGTTTTCTTTAATCTTCTACGTATTGTATCATATAAGCCTACTTATTCTATTTGAAAATTTCTTTAAAATATGTATAAGCAGGACTGTCTCAACGTGGATTAAGATAGAAAATTATGAAAGATAACCTTCTTACGAACTTTAAATAAGACTTAAATAAAAATGTAATCGTTGAATCTAAGTCTGTAATAAAATGAAAACAAATGGATTTGACAAATTTGCATTACGAAAAATGTTCTGTATAACTGATAGTGTTATATGTTTAAGTCAATTTTCTATTGAGTGTACACAGAGAAAATAAAAGATGAAAAATACCAGATTATGGTTAAATTTACCGAACTACTGACTATTAGGAGCATTAAAAAGCTCGGTAATTTTTACCGAAGAGCTTTGGTAATGGTTTTGGTAAAATTAACAACGAAGTACAGTTTTATGATAAAAATATAGCAAATGTGGTAAAATTTTGTAATTTTATCATAATATCTTAGAACAAGGCATAAAAACCATTGCTTTTATTAAATTTACTTTTAAGTTTTGTACTTTTTACTAATTGTTTGGTAATAAGAACCATTTTAAAAAACAGAATTTTTGGTAAATCATTACTATATGAACAGAAAAAATATCAAATGAATGACTTAAAAACCGAATAGTTTGGTTTTTAATACCACAATTATGGTTTGTTTTACTAGAAATGACATTACCATACAGAATGGTAATTTTACCAGATTTAATCCATGTATTATATGAACTTATCAGTTCTATTTGAAAAATTCTTTTAAAAAAGGATAGAAATAGTAACGTAAGTTTAAGCATAGATTGAAAACAAGACAATTTTCTTACTAACTTTAAATAGTACAATTAAGAATTCAATATTTATAATATAAAATTATAAATATTAAATCAATGTTTAATAAATTGGTAGCTAAGAAAAGACTACGAAATTTATTCCGTAGAATGAACACTGTTATGTTTCTTCTAAAAATATTCTTTTTTTTAAAAAAAATATAAACTTATTTATTCTATTTGAAAAATCCTTTTATAAAAGATAGTAATGTAAGTTTCAACATAGATTAAGAACTTATGTATTTTTCTCTATTTAAAAAAACCAAAAATAAGAAAAATCTTCATTACTTACTCCAAAAAGTAATAATTATTCTGAAGAGAAGTTTAATAATTAATAATTAAATAGGATGTTATTTAAAGTTATGAAGAATAATAAATATTCTATGACATTCATCATTCTTTATCTACTAATAATTATTCTGTGTCTACACTGTAAAAAATTCTGAATCAAATTACGGTAAAAAGTAACAGCATTCAAGATGGCGGTACTTTTTACTGTGTAATCCATTTTTTCCAGATCATGTTACAAAATAAAAATATGATATGCCGTCATTTTTACAGTAATAATTACTCTAAAATTACTAAATCACTCAACTTAGATAAATATTGCTTTGAAAATTGCGGTATATTTTACAATAAAAATGGATTTTACGGAAAAAGGAATTTTATGAAAGTTACACCCAAAGTACCGGCACTCTATACCGTAATTTTATCCGGAATTTTTCACAACGTACCTTTTAATGGGTGAATGAAATATAGGAAAAGCTTAAGTTGAAATTTCGATTTGATTGTTATATTTTGTTTACAGGAATAATTTTTAACAGTCATGTAATGCTTTTAAAAATAAACTTTCACTTTTCCTTTACTTAAATTGCTAAACAGTTCAGGCATTAATCGATGACATTATAGCTCAAAAAAAGGAAATCACAATAAAACAGATTGAATCCCAAGTTTCGATTGTTAATTTGTTACATACCTTTTAAAAAAATGCATATTGTTTTCAGAATATGTTTAAAATGTTTACAAATAAGGTATTTGTAACATTAAAAGTTAACCACCTCTTATTTATAATGTCTGAGCAGTTTTACGTTCTTTCATATAAATTAATTCAAAGTGAAAAACATGAAATCAAGATTTTCTAGTTTTGTTTTATTTGGTTTTTCTGGTCTGAAATATCTTTATACTCATTTTTTAGTCTTAACAGGTCAATACAAATGTGTGTTTGTATTTCCAAACCATTAAAAAAAAATTATTTTCAAGTATCTCTTATCAACGAAACTCAAATAAGATACATTGGTCTAGAAGTCAAGCACTTACAAGGAACATACCAGAAGTATCACTCGCCGATCATATCATATATTTTGTCGATTTCGAAACAATTTTTAACACTAGAAACGATGAAAATTGCTTCGAATCTAGAAAGACTGAAAGGGCCAGTGTGTCCCTTCTCAGATTGATTGTTTTTAGAACAATTAGACATCGAAAATCTTAAAATATAATCACAACTAATCTAATAAACACCTATTATAGACTTGATTATGGAAATTCTTTGGTATTTTATTCGATTTCATTAACGAAAATATTTGATTAAGCGGAATCCTGAATTTTCAATTACACATTAGTTTCTTAGATAATTGAATTTTATCGTTCTCTGATTCAAGTCAAAATTACGATCTGTGGATGAATGAATGGATATATGAATGGGTCCGCCCTATAAACGGGTACGACGTATGGTGTGGCGGAAGTCGAATTCTTGGCCATAGATGGCGCCACTGAGAAACAGGAAACGCACACTCTGCCTTAAATTTGCTCGGTTTTACCAAGCAGGCTTGCCCGTGTGACAAGTAGCATTAGAAACAACAACAACAGATAATTGAATTTACTTTTCTCTATAAATAATAATTATAGATACGCTGAAATACTTTTGTTTTTAAATGAAACTGGGGTACCTCATGCCCAAACCTACCAGGGGTTATTGGATATCTAATAAAATACCTATATGGCCCCACTGGCCCCTTCTGCCATTCCAGATATATAAGCAACTATACATGAGCTTCTATAAGGTTAACATATAAGGGATTAAATAAGCAATTAAATTGGATCAAATAATGGAAAATCAGTAATATTCAACACTTTCAGAAAGTTATTACTTGTTTTCAATTAAGGACAAACAAAAACCGAGAGGGGCCAAATTTCCCTCAATCATAGTTCCAGACGTAAATTATAAATTACCAAAAAACTGCAATTTTTACTTTAATTCTATGAATCTTTCAAACGAACAGCAATAGTGGCAGTGTAAAGTTGCTCTAATTAAAGACTCCCTAAATTAAAGCTTAATCAGAAATTATTGTCTGCGTTTTTAAGTCTAAAATTTAAGGAAGAAATTTAGAAATTATTATATAAGTTCAGTTATTTAAGCTTTTAAGTTCCAAAGGTCTTTAATTCATTCAAATTTTTCTTTTAAAATAACAAATTTATTTGCTGAAATAGAATTATTTCACTTGACTTTTAAAGCTATTATTCATTATTACACATATGGCGAAATTTTTGCGATTCCTTAAACATTTTTTTGCCCGATCTTACATTTGAAAAAAACTCATATCTCCGCAATTAAAGCAAAATAGACAAAAAATGTTATATACGTTATTTCATAACTGTCCGAATTGCAAAAATAGATTTAAAAAAACTAAGCCTGATTTGCGAGTGACACTTCAGGTACCTTCCTTGTTAGTGTGTTTTACTTATAGGTCAATAAGATATTGATGAAAAACGAAGATCAAGTCCTGAAAAATCTTAATTTCTTTTTCAGTGACACATCAGCCGGGAATATGGACAAAGCAGCTTCTGAGCTCCTCCTCCGGTACCTGAAAGAAGCTTCTCGCAAGATCGATGATAAGGAAGGATTAAAAGATTTCGGTGGAGAGAGAGAATTCGAGACAGAAGTGGATTATCTTTAAAAAGGTAGAAACGATTAATTATAAAACAGATAAATTTGAATTGAAATACATGAGCCGAGGTGGCTCAGAGGGTAGAGCACTCGCCTCAGAATGAGACAACCCAGTTTCGAATCCCAGCTATGACTGGTTGATACGAATTCCGCACCCGGATCGCACGAACCGCAGTGACGCCGTAAAATATCCTCAGTAATAAACGAATCATGGGTCCGAGTCCCCTTGCCTTCAGAATAATCGTGGGTGGTTTTTCTTTCCATGTAAGGCAAATGTGGATTAAATTCACCGAATAGTCCTCCACGAAACCAAAATTTAGCTCAATATTTGATCCAGGTGTTTCCTTGATTGGGTTCTAAATTACAAGGTTATGGAGTTGAACATTGGTTGTCGTTAACTCAAAAATTGGGACAGCTGTTCAACGACGGTTATATTAAAAAAACATCAAAAACAATGAAACGAAGTGGATCAAATTAGTTAGTCATGCCATCTTGAAAGATCAGAGGCACTTTTTAACAAGTTGAAAGCAATGAATGCCAGAAGAAGAAAAAAATTGCTTTCCCGCAAGAGTCTGCCACGGCCTAGGGCGATCGTAGTGGATAAGGATTCACAAAATCATGATCAATTGCTTGACGGAAGCAATGCGGTTAGCATAGCACTCTGACTGCCTTTATTACTCGGACAAGTAGGTACTTACCGAATTAGAGCAGAGTGGACATCAAACCGCCACTTGGGATCGAACTCCAATTCTTCATACTGATAGGTTAGTACCACCTTCACGGCTTTTATGCTGTTTTACTGTTGCTTAATATACATGGGTGTAGGCTGCCATTAGAGACATTTTGCAACCTTTCCGTTTAGTTCTTCTAGCTAACGATATCAGCACTGCGTCTGTGAAGCAATGATTTGTTCGTTGGAGCTGACTTAGATTTATTATAGTTAGTTTTAAATTGTTGCGCAAGAGCAAAGGAGGCTATACTGAGCTCAACCTTGGTTGAAACTAAAAGTCTGATGGTTCAGTTCTTAGAAGTATCCGTCGTCTTTGAGATTTTCAATAAGGTTTCGATTTCCATCTGGAGAGTTTCTAATTAAAGACGATAATTCAGGATATTCGCAGTTAGAGCACTTGGTGAAGATGTGCTTTATGGTTAGTGGTTCTCCTCACCTGGTGCAAATAGTCGCTGGTTCGTTAAGTAAAAGGTGTCTGTGTGTGAATCTTCGATGGCCAAAGCTTTGTCTGTTTATAAGAACTTATTATTAAGAGTTATAAAAGGTATTATTAACGGTTTCATTTCATGCAGTTTATTGTTTATCTCTACATTCTATTTTGTTTACAAATGGGTATATAAAGTGCTTGTTATTACTGTTGATGATGCAATATATCATGACGCAAAACAGGTTTGTTATATAGATTATTAGTAGCTTTTGCCATGAAATTGTTAATTCATTTTTGTGTGATTTCTAGTTCAGCCAAAGGAAAAGTTAATGCTGATGGGAAAAATGCAAATTGTCTCTATTTTTAGTTTAACTTTTCTTTAAAATAAGTGAGGAAAGGAAAAGTTATCAAAAACTGAATAATATTTATCGGAAAATTCAAAATTAAAACGCCAAAACTAGTTTGATCCCCCAATGAAACTTGAAAGTGTTTCTAATAATCGTTGCTGTCCCACACTGGAGTGATCATAAAGACACGGTTTCCAGTTGAACAACTAAGTCAAGCATCACCGGCTGCGGTCAGTAAGCAAGTGTGTGACCACTTTGATCAGTCTGCGTAGGGAATAAGGGTGTGAGGTATCGGTCCTCGATGAACTATTCAACCGTTAAGTGCTCGACTTTGAGCGCAAATCATCGGGTTACCAAAGCGGGAGAGCCATCCATTCTGCAAAGAATCAAAATTGTGTTGGCTTGTCTTCGGATCATTCGTCACGTTTTCCGTTCGGATTATGCTTCTCAGTCCGTCGTCATTAGACCTAGCCCAATGTGCAGCTCTAGTGCGACGTAAATAAAGTACCTACATAATAATTTTTTTCACCATCTTTTAGTTTCCTTTTCTGGAAAATAAAAAACAAGCAGGTTTCAATGTTTTCAATTTTGTTAACATTGAATCGTAAGATTTTGATATCATTTCTGTTTTTTCCTCGTTTAAATTAAAAATTGCGATTTTTAATTGTCTATACTTTTTACTTCATTTTTGACAGTTTTTAAAAATATATAACGGCAGTGATTTAAGAATGCTCTGCATACTATTCTAAGTTAATACTTTACGATATCTATAGTAAACTGTTACCCTTAGTCAGAAAGTTAAATCGTCTTTCTCTTTGAATAACTTAGAATGTATATAAGGAACCTGTTTACAATATTTACAGAAGAAAATCCTCTCTCACTTGAATGTATTACAATACATTTCAGATGCTCTTTTTTCTTTTCCTTTGCAATTTTTCGAAAAGAAGTTAAAGTTCCAATCTGTTAGAATGTCTAACAGTATTTTTAAATAAATTTTTTCAATGTTGCTTAAATATATTGCAATACTTTTAGAAATGTTCTGCAATGTGCTTAAAATATTAAGTAGCGCGTGAGAAAATGAATAAATAATTCCTAAATATTCCAGAGAAAAACTTTTGAATGTCTTAAAAATAACCCATATTTACAGTTAAAAATTAAATTACTTAGATTTTTGACAATTTTTTTAGTCGAAATAATTCCTAATTTTGCTAGAAAACACATTTCTCCCAAACTACTTCTGCATCATCGTTCTTATTTTATTCTATTTCTATGTATTTTGCTCCGTTTTCCTTGGTACAAATAACTTACTTTTATCAGGAACTTATTATCCTACAGATAAACTTTTAGCAACTTCTCAGGGATAAAAGTTCTATCACCATGGAATAATCTGTTATTGACATTCGACACCTATGGACAAACCACTCTTGAAGCTTTCCACAACATTGAATATGTTAAGCAATATTTTTATACAAATTTGAAATAATTTTATAAATCTAAGTGAGAACTATATACTGGCTTAGATATATTAATTATAAGGCATATAAAAATGTACTTTTAGAAGAAAATTTCAATACCATTTATATTAGAATAGAAGTGGAATAAAGCAAACTTTTCGCCTAAAAGTTCGCTTCGTAGAAATTTCTGGAGCAACGATTATAGGTATACAGCAATGCAGCTGAGAACGAAAAAGTTATTATTTTGTTAATCCCCAACTTGTTAAGCTTAGTAGTAGGAGCAATATAGTTAGGTTTGAGACTTCCTATTTCCTTAGAGAGTTACGGGGAAGAAATTCAAAACTGTCCTGATTAGAGTTATGAAAGAGCGGAATCAGTCACCCACACTTGGCGAAGTTTCTCTCAATTCTTCCTTCGTTAAGCCACGACAAAATCATGTTATCTGAGTTCGTTTTGGTTTTATTTTTTTTAACAATCAAGAAACATGTAACTAAGCCGCAATCATGTGAGTTGGTTATTAGCACTTTAAAAGGCGGTGGGAAGTGTATTTTCAACTTCATTCTTTTAAAAAATGTCGACGCTAAGAATCTATGATTTATGCGACGTCAGAAAATACAGATAAATAAATTTAAAAAATACAAATGGTGATTTTTGTTCACACAAATATGGGTAACAGTAAAGGTTTGAGTGGGTTCAAGAAGAGAGGCAAATAATAGGAAGCTATTTCCTTCAGTGTACTATGCGTTCGTTGATTTGATCATTTCAAGTTCATTTGTGGATATAAACTCTGACTTTATAAATTAAATTATTTGTAAGCACAGGCAAAAATAAAAGCAAAACGCAGCCATTTTCTCACTGAGAAGAAAAACAAAAACGCACTTAAATGAAAATTGAAAAAGACTCTGTCTATTGAATAAAGCTATGCTTTTATTTAAAATTTTATAGCTTTTAATTTTATGTTTTAAAATTTTCTTTCAGGTTCCTTTAAGAGAAACTAAAGGATTGTGGATTGTCTATTTAAAGTCAAATGTTGTAAATTTTAAGATGAAAAAAAAATGGATTAAAAATGCTTTGAAACTGTGCTGATTTGAAAAATTTCTGTTTTTTCTTAAACATCTTTTCAATGTAAATAAATTATTTTTTCCTTTAAAGAAATTTGCTTTCTTACAAATAAAAAAATCTTACAAACGACATGATTATTGAAATGTTTTTCATTTTTATTCTAGTTTTTTGAGAAAAAAAATTTATTGAAATCAAAAAAATCTGTATTAAATCATTAGAGCAAGCAGTTCCTTTTTAGAAATTATTTTAAAAATACCTCATATGAGTACATAATTTTTTTATCCATAAATTCTTTCTATATATTTAAAAACTTATTTTATTTTACAGTCTTATTCTATTTTTTGGAATTAATAAAATTTATTTAGAAACCGAAAATTTACAATTGACATTTATTTTAACTCATAAAGCAACAGTTACGAATATATTATGTTGCCCTACAAATAACGAATCAAAATAAAATAAAAATAAAAAAATTTAACTTTTTTTAATAAATAAATAATTTTTGAAAATAAATAACAGTTTTCAGTTTTCTTTTTCTTTTTTTTTTAATATTTTTTTTCGTTGAAAGGTATTGTTTGAAATTTTGAATTTCAAAAAATTATAGTTTATTCACGGTAAAAAAAAATTTTGTACACCAAAAAGTGGTAGCAACTACTTTACACCTAAGTAATGTTATGAAACATTTGTAGATAACTCTTGGTTCTTGGTGTTTCAATATACCAAGAACCAAGGATAGTCTTGGTGTACCAAAAATGCTTTTCAACACTACTTGGTGTAAAGTAGCTATCACCATTTTTTGTATTTAATAACACTAAAATTTATAATTACAAGGGACATGATAGACATAAGAGTCCATGAAGTTATTTTTACTATACAATATTTAGTATGAAAATCTAACTTAAGATGCATATATGCACTAAATTCTTAAAATAAAATTAGTATGCAAATCAAACACACGCGTAGTACAGAGAAAATATTAAGATGAATTCAAATTAAGCTTAACAGAACGGAAGGGATAGAAATTGAAAGTTATAAAATCATTTAATACAAATACATTTGGGTATTTAAAAATTTAGAATTGATTGTTTTTACTAAATTAAATGTATACATACATTTTGTAATGGTGAACTTTTGTTTAGGCAGATGTACAGCAGCATGCAAAATATCGGCGAATTCACGCCATTTCGCACTCGATTATAAACAATCTACTAACGATATCCTTAGTTCATAGAAATTTATGCTTATGAAAGCAAAAATAATTCACAAATAGTGTGAATATGCGGTGTAACCATTCTTATTTATTGTTTAGATTTATTTAAACCCTTTAAAGTGAACACTTGATTTGATGATAACTTGAAACAAAGTGTTCTTTGGGTTGTTCAAAACCAAATTAAAAAAACTATTGCACCTCACTTTTGATAGTTTATTTATTTCAACCCAGCAGCTAAAACAGTGGTTTTTTAAGGAGAGCTCTACAAATGCATCACAAGTACACACGATTTCTTTTAACATAAATTATTTTTACAAATTTAAAAAACAATGTTAGTTCTTAGAATATTAAAAGGTTTTACTCAGAATTCAAAAACTACAATTTATATTCATTTTAAATCAGTATCTCATGATGGGGAAGAGGTAGGCCATATATCAATAATGCTAAAACTGATGTCTTTTTACTATGTAACCTTTCATAAGAAACTACTTATGCTACTAAATTTTTACTACTACATTTTTGGGGATATTTTAGAGTATATCTACGATAGTGTTTTAGCATTATCTGGAATACTTTTTTGAGTTATGAGTGATTTCGCTAAAATTTTTTTTAAAAATAAAAAGTTCTCAATTCATAATTTTTTAAAAATGTTTTGCTTAAGATATCTATTAACAGTTATGGACAGAGTAAACATATATGTGTAAATATTCTGTGAAATAAAAACTGAAGCAATATCTTGTTTCGATGCTGAGAAAAAGGTACATCGAAAAAGGTATATGCATTACCGACGTCCCTTAATGCAAATAGAGCGTTTCTAGGCTCAAAAATTGCAGCAAGAGCACACCAGAATTCTCCCCCCCCCTTTTCACAAAGAGATATTGAATTAGAGATATTGTTTTAAAGATCTTAAAACATATTTAATTTTTTTTATTTTTATGCTATTCTTTAGAGTAAAAAGAATTAATTTAGAAACAAATGCAAATTTAATATACATTTCGATATCTAAAAGAAAATAATGAGTTTTTTTCCAAAAAAAAGGGAAAAAAAAGAGCATTTTATTTGGTAATAAGATTAGTTTTATTTTCAAAGTAATTATTTTTAAGTAAATTAAAAGGTGTCATGCTAAGTCTGATGCAAAAGAAGAAAATGAAAGGAAATATTAAATAATCGTTGCGTGACTGGATCTTGTACTCTCTGTGTGGAATTGAAATCAAAATAACATGACATAAATCCGATCAAGAACTTCTGTAAATTTGCAGATAAATTTACAGTTAAAAACGCTATAGATGCTTTTGTAGCTTATGCTTTTAGACATTGTAGATCATATTTATTATTACCAAGAAGGATCTTGTATTTTCCAAAAATATCCACATAAACCAAGAAATAGTGAAAAGTTTAAAAAAAATTAATTACACAAAAATCGGAAAAATATCATATGGCAGACAATTTTTGATTTTTTCTCTTTTTCCAAATAATTTTTTGTTCCTTTGAAAAGGATTTCAAATGACAGAATGAATATAATCTTTTTTCATAATGCTCTCATATGCCTAATATATTAAAAAAAAACATTAAAAATGTGTCGAAACAGTTAAAAATGGTATAAGATATGAAGCGGTGGAATTTAGATGAATTTTCAATAATTTCTTAGACCACAGAATTCATTTGAAATTGGTTTATTATGAAAAGTGGAGTGTCGTATTTTTAAAAGATAGTCATAAAGGGTTATAAAAGTTCCCAGAGAGCAATTAAAAACACATAGAGAATTTTAAGGAAAAAAATTGTCCAAAGATTTTACGTTTCCACTGGTTACTGTTATTCATTTTCACTGCTGCGTCGTTTAATCAGTTCTTTATTTGTAAATGTAAAACCATCACTAATCCTACAGTGCAACAAAAAATTAGAAAATTTATCTTTATGCATGTAATGTGAAAATGTAAAAAAAATAAAATTAGAAATCCAGCTGTAATGAGTAATTTATCTCTTATTCATTATTATTTTTTACGTTGGTTTTTTTAAAGATAATTCTGTAAATAAGTCAGACAAAAGAAAAAAAGTTACCAAAAAATTACTTCTAGTCCTCGTACGCGTTTAATATGGTGGATAAGGCTCTACAACCGTTAGTTCAATAACATCTCGCTACACCGTGAAATTCTCTATCACGTATCGAACGTGAACCGCATAATGTAATAAAGTTGAAGTAACGGAGTTACGAACCAAATTTGTTCAAAAAAAATAACAATCTAAATGGCTCTGAAATATAGTCATAAAACTATTTATATCTTACTTACCAGTGCCCTTTTTTCTAAATATAACTGTTAATTACTTTCGTGTTTCAAACGGTGTGATAAACTGAGTGTGACAAAAATATAATATAGGAACAAACATAACTGGGGAGCTTAGAATTGTGCTATCTTAACCTAAATACAGCAATTTACCCGACAAAAATAAAATCAGGACAGATGATTGGCTAGGATTTACAACAACTTGGGAAAGACTTAGATTTCGCGCTCTCTTGCATTATGTTGTAAGACTCATGGAGAGCTTCTCGTGACCATTTTAAAACGGTTATGTAAAGCACACCCCTCTTTGCATTGGTTTGTTAAATTTTATATAGAATAAATTTTTTAAACTTTGAATGAAACATTTTAAGACAACGTAACTCAATAACATAATTAATTTTCGATTCAGTTTAAAATTTAACAGTGTATGTTACTTATATAATTTCTATTTTACTTAGATATGTTTTGAAAGCGTTTACTGTGTTTGATTTAATAAGAAACGCTTATTCTAAGGGCTTTTTTCATCCAATATATTAACAATTGGTTATAAATAATTTAAACAAACCCTCGAATAAAACAAACTACAACTATGATTGGCTATTAAAACGGGTTGCAGGTAGAACATTGCAAAACTTTGAACTTTTACATGCTGTCACCATTAGTACATGGGATAGTCATATGAAGTCGACAAACGTTAGTTTCCGTCTTAATTTTTATACAGAGTAAAACTTTTTAAGAGCGAAAACATTATATTCAGCGAATAAACATTTTATTAGAAGCACGAGTCACGTGATTGACACTTTTACAATATATTTTCTTCAGTATAGGTTAAGAAACTATATGGAACTCAAAATTGGATTAAACATAGTTCTTAAATAAATCGAAAATTTCTGAAAATATTTTTGACAGTTAAGGGCGAAAAATATTTTGGAAGAGGAAAAGATCATAGTACATTACCATACAACTGAATAGAAGGCGAGAGGGAAGGGGTATCAAGACATGGAACAGATCTTCTCCCCAGATGGCGTATTCGAGCGTTGCGATAGCGAATCTCATTCAATTTATAGGTAAATCAAATAAAAATTTGAAACAGTTATGGTAGTCTCAGTTTTCATATGAAATTAAGGAATATAAAAAAAAAGTTTATTCTGGATTTTTTCCCCAATTATTTTTCATACATTTTGCACCCCGGAACAGATAACAAAAAGTTCCCCATTCCAGCTACACCACTGAATCTGATATAAGTTTCTTCATTATTTTTAAAAATCAAATAGAATGATGGATTCAAGCTTTGAACCTGGTACGCTTGAAGTTTTAATCAGCGTTTTCCACTATAGATGGTGTTTTCGATATAAATGTAAACAATAACAATCTCGAGCTCTATACCTGCTCTAGTTCCAGTTGGAAAGTTTGCAACTGCTTACTACAGCTTATTGTGCGAGGCGATATTTTCAAACGGATAATTTAGTTTTCAATAAAAGGAGTAAATTAGATAATTTTTGTACTCAAATCTGCTGTATTTCATGAGAT